CCCCCTTGCCCCACCACCTCGTGTGTGCGGAGAAGTTTACCTTACCTTACCTTAGACGTAGTTGTGCGGGCAAGCAAGCGGCGGCCAGGTAAAATTCTTTTGGCGCACGCCGACAAGGTTTCAGGCGCCCTTCCGCTGCGGCACGACAAGCATGTCTCGATCGGTGAAGCGCATCATGAGCGAGGCCAAGGAGCTTCAGGAGTGCCCCGCCGCCGACTTTGTCGCCGCGCCCCTCGATGACAACCTCTTCGAGTGGCACTTTACGCTGCGCGGTGTCGCGGGCACCGCATTCGAGGGAGGCCGGTACCACGGGCGCATCATGCTGCCACCCGAGTACCCGTTCAAGCCACCTTCCATCTTTCTGCTCACGCCCAACGGCCGCTTCGAGACCGGCCGCAAGATCTGCCTCTCCGTCTCCGCACACCACCCAGAGTCGTGGCAGCCAGCGTGGGGCGTGCGCACAATCCTGACGGCGCGCGAGAAAGACGCGTTCCGAGCCCGACCCTGCTCGCTCCCTGCCAGCTCTCCACCGCCCTTTGGCTCGCCTCCCCGCTGGACGCCCGCCGCCCCGCCGCCTCTCTCCCTCTCTCCCGTAGCCACAACCCACCCACCGCGCATCCCCGGTGAACCCGTCCGCCGGACCGCGCACGCGCGTTCTCGACACGTGCTCGGCGCGTTGCCCACGGCCCGCCGACGACTCGCGCCCTCGGCACCCCTCCAGGCGCTGATCGCCTTCTTCCCGACCCGCGCCGACGGGGCCCTCGCCGGCGCCGCCGTGCGTAGAGAGCGCACACATGCATGTCCAGCCAGAGCCGATCAGAGACAGCCAGAGCCGATTAGAGAGCGCACATATGCATGTCCAGCCAGAGCCGATGTCGACTCCACATGCACAGCTCTGAGCGGGAAGCCCTGCTGGAACGGCACAGGGTTGAGCCGGCCCTCTGCCAGTTGCCTCGCCACTGCCGCGCCGCCACGTCGTGTGTGTGTGTGTGGAGGAGTCTGCCTGACTTGCCCTTGAGCCTCCACGAGCTAGCCTGGTCTCACACCCTGCGCGCCACCAGCACAGTGACTGACAAACCGTGCCTCTCTCTCTTCACACCCTCCTGCTGTGAACTTCACACCCTCCTGCTGTGAGCTTCACGCCCTCCTGCTGTGAACAGGCCTCGACTACTCGGATGTCGAGCGGCGCGCCCTCGCGCAGCGCTCGCTCGAATGGCGGTGAGACACGTCCGAGACACTTCTAAGACCCCTCCGAGACACCTCCGAGACACATACGAGACATCTCCGAGACATCTCCGAGACAGCTCTGAGACACTTCCAAGAGACACCTCCGAGACACCTCCGAGACAGCTCCGAGACATGCCCGAGACACTTCCGAGAGACACCTCCGAGACATGCCCGAGACGCTCTTCCCGCATCTCCCGCCCGTTTGAGGTGTCTCTCGGTCTTGCCAAAGAGCGCCCCCCCCCCCCCTCCCCTCCCCCATTAAGAAGGCATTATGGGCGGAAAATTTTCGCGCGCTCCGCGCGCAAAACAGCTTGGCGTACCTGCCCACGCCTCTCGAAACATTTGTGCCAATAAATAAATAAATAAAACGGACACACCAAACAAGGGGTGGGAGAAGGACAGGGTCCCCACCTAGTTCTCCTGCTACTGACAAAAGGGACAGCGACAGGCTCGCAGCACGGTGGACTCCCTATTCCACTGCGCACTGGGGATCTCTCTCGACTTTGTGCCCCCGCGTGGCAGG